CCTGGCTGTTACATGGCTGTGGGAAGTGAACCAGCAGATCGAAGATCTTTACCTCTCTGTCTCTCTCTGTAACCTTCATTTTAATAAATACTTAACTTTTTATGAAAGAAATATATATTTACTTCATAAATATATTGGGATTTTAGAAATAATATTTATAGCTTAGTTTATTGAATTTTTTATTTTAAAACTGAGCAGCTCATTTTTAGTGAAGTAACTTTTAGGTTTCTAAATTATTGGTATCACAAATGAAGCAAAAAATGTATTCAAATAGTAACATAAGTATGGGAAAAAATCTATATAAAAGCCACAGTTCTTACTTCTAGTTCTTACTCAGTGGGTTGTCATTAATGGATGGATTACTACTACTTTCAGAAGAGAAACTGATTTTTAAATTATCAACGTTATAATTTAGAAAAATTAATCATTTTTTCATATATTTTTCAAGTTTTTTAAAGATATAATTTGCAAATAAACCCAAAAGAAAATAGTACAATGGGTCCTAATGTTCTTAGGACCCATGATTGGTAACTATCAACATTTCAATAGACTTCAGGCAATTTTTTAAGGTCAGACTTTCATAAATCCTAACAAAAACTTATAATCACTGGTATCAGGTTCAAACTCATTACATATTTCTGGGTTTTCAAGAAATTGTTTTGTCAACTCTGGGTGGTATAGTTCAAGTTTATTAGACTGCCATAAAAGATGTAGCTTCTTTTCTCAGTTTCAATGATCTAACTGCTTCATTTTAAAATCAAGTTTATAATATTAAAATAGAGGAGGAATATCAAAAGTATTATACTCAGTGCTATCCCAATTATTTTATCAGTTGTCTGGAAGCTGTTGTAGACCTGACACATGCTAATGACATGAGTAAATTTAAATATCATTATGCTAAGTAAAAGAAATTATACTTAAAGGTTCTATACAGTGTATGATTCCATTTCTTAAGGTAGTCTAAAAGGCAAAACTATAGCAGCAAAAATCAGTTAAGTGGTTGTAGGAAACTAGGGATGAAGGAAGTGATTTTACAAAAAAAGGACAACAAAACTTTTTTAGGTGATGGAAATGGTGTGTATGTTGATCATGATAGTGTTTACATGACTACATATATTATCAATATTCATCAAAATGTACATTCAAGAACATCAAATTTTGGAGCTGGCACTGTGGTGAGTGGGTTAAGGCAATGCTTGCAACACTGGTATCCCATATTGAAATGGCTGCTCCCTTTCTGATCCAGCTTCCTGTTAATGCACGTGAGAAGGCAGTAGAAGTTGGCTCAAGTATATGGGTCCCTGTAACACACGTGGGAGAGTCAGATGGAGTTCCAGACTCCTGGCTTTAACTTGGACCATCTCCAGTGTCATTGTTACCATTTGGGCTTTACCCACTGTAGCACAGCACATGTCCCAAATCTTTCTTTTCAACACTACCCATGCCTTAACAGGTAAAGCAGCCACCTGCAGTGCCAATATCCCATATGGACACTGGTTCGAGTCGTAGATGCTCCACTTCCAATCTAGTTCTCTGCTATTGCCTGGGAAAGCAGTAGAAGATGACCCAGCTCCAGCTGTTGTGGCCATTTGGGGAGTGAACCAGTGGGTGGAAGACCCCTCTCTCTCTCTCTGCCTCTGCCTCTCAAATGAATAAATAAATCAACACCACCTTTGGAGCAAGAATTTAGCCTAATAAGACACTCATGTCCTACAGCGAAGTGCCTGGGTTTGAATCCTGGCTCTGACTCCTGACTTCAGTTTCCTGCTAATGTAGACTCTGGGAAGAAGCAGGTGATGGCTCAAGTAGTTGGGTTTCTACCACTCCCTAAAGATACTTGGATTATATTCCCAGTTCCCAGAAAAGGCTTTGGGCAATGAACCTTGGGATGAAAGCATTCTTGCTACTTCACCATCTCTCTGCCTCTCAAATAAATAAGTCATTCATTGATTTAATGCTACTAATGTTAAATCATTTTAAGTAAGTCACATACTTTACTGTGAGAGTTTATTTCCTTCAATTTTCTTAATCTTTGAGTGTTTATGTATTTCAAAGAAAAATTGTGATATTAAATCTTTGTATGCAAATATATCATAAATTATCATATACTTTTGTTCCATAAAATTTAATATATATAAGTAATATCCATCATTTTAAGTTACATAATAATTCACGTTGTGTGAATTTCTGATATTCCAACCCTTCTAAATTGTTTATGGAACACACACACTCACAGTCTCAACAGGAAGAAATTTTCTCTTAATATTAATTTCAGTTCATTTTTAGATTTAAGGTTAGCTTGGAAGCATTTTCAAATACAGAACACAAAAAGTTCCTCTTCCAAACAATTCATAAAGTATATTTTGCTTTGCCACTATTGTAGTGAAACTGTGCTGTACTCTTATAATTATATTTAGATATTAAAATATTTTATAATCTTCTGCTAAAGAAAATGCAGATATTTTAAATATTGTAATTTTTTAAATAATATATAGGCTTGATCTCCTTAATAGTTTGAGGTTTCTATTTAGCCATGAATTTAAATAATTATGTATCTTTTAAAATTTTCCAGTAGAAAAATCTTAATACATGAGTAGGACAAGCCACATTTTTCCTCAAAATCTAGATACCTCAGCTCATACTTTTCTTCCTTATCACCCACTGATTTGTAAATATTTTCACATCCCAGGGAGATATTTCCAGTTGATTTTCTCTTTTAAGCTTTTAACAGGCAGCTAAAAGAGTCACTGAATTCAAAGCAGTACACAGAGCAAGAGAAATTAACTTACATATCTGGATATAATTTAGGGCATACACAATGGGGTTTGGCTGATCTTAAATGTACAGATTTATCCATTTCATCTTTCATAATGTCTTCTTTATTGTACTACATATGGAAATGTCAATGAAAACTATTAAACTAGAAAATACTTTATGAAAGTCATAAAACATTAGTTTGCATTACATTTCAATGAAGAATTATGGCAAATCCAATGCACTGTTCATTATCTCTTTCTTTCTAGTTTAGTTCCAATACACTCACTGGAAAACCTGTGGGCTTTTGAAAGGTCATTTCCAATAAGCACCAATAGACACTGAGCTGGGAGGAACATCCACTCTGGTTGTGGTATGATTGCCTTCATATGGAAAAAAAAAGTATCATTTCATCTGTAATGGATGTCATAAAGAGAATGCAGAAATAAAAGTATGAACTCAAACAGGAAAAATATTCAGCTGAATTCTTTGAAAATGCCAAGTGACTAAATTAAATAAATATGATGAGACATTACAACCTACAACCAGGCTTTATCTTTTGTCAAGTTACTTTGTTGAAAGATAGGATCTCACTCGCGGAGATCTTTCATTTAGGTGGTTTTTTTTTTTTTTTTTTTTTTTTTTTTTTTTGCCAGAGTGTCTTGGCTTTCCATGCCTGAAATACTCTCATGGGCTTTTCAGCCGGATCTGCATGCCTTAAGGCTGATTCTGAGGCAAGAGTGCTGTTTAGGACATCTGCCATTCTATGAGTCTGCTGTGTATCTCACTTCCCATGTTGGATCGTTCTCTCCCTTTTTATTCTATCAGTTAGTATTAGCAGACACTAGTCTTGTTTATGTGATCCCTTTGGCTCTTAGTCCTATCATTATGACCAATTGTGAATAGAAATTGATCACTTGGACTAGTGAGATGGCATTGGTATATGCCACCTTGATGGGATTGAATTGGAATCCCCAAAGAAGGAGGTACCTTTCTCTGAAGGGAGGAGAGAACTTCCACTCTGACTACAACCTTGTCTAAATATGATCAGAGTCAGTGAACTCAAAAGGTTTCCATAGCCTTGGCAACTCATGACAAGAGCCTAGGGTGATTACTGATGCCATAAACAAGAGTGTCAATTTGTTAAGTCAACAACAGGAGTCACTGTGCACTTACTCCTCATGTAGGATCTCTATCCTTAATGTGCGGTACATTGTGATTTAATGCTATAACTAGTACTCAAACAATATTTTTCACTTTATGTTTCTATGTGGGTGCACTGTTGAAATCTTTACTTAATATATGCTAAACTGATCTTCTGTATATAAAGAGAATTGAAAATGAATCTTGATGTGAATGGAAGGGGAGAGGGAGCGGGAAAGGGGAGGGTTGCGGGTAGGAGGGAAGTTATGGGGTGGGGGGAAGCCATTGTAATCCATAAGCTGTACTTTGGAAATTTATATTCATTATATAAAAGTTAAAAAAAACATAATATTTTCTAAATATTTTACATTTAGGTATCACCATATTCTTGTTCTTGAGGGCTTAAATTATAATGAAAATGCAGAACAGATCCTAAATTTACTCAAAATAGTAATTAGGAAGAAGAACCCCAAAAGTAATCAAGTTTACCAAAATATGTCAAAATTACAGAATTGGAAACTGGGGAATTAAAAATTTTTTAAAATTATTTGAGAGGCAGAGAGAGAGCAAAAATAGACAGAGACAGAGAGACAGAAAGAGTTTCCATTTGCAGGATCAATCCCAAATGAATTCAATATTCACAACTAGACTTGGCAATAGCCAGGAGCAGGGAACTCAGTCCAGGTCGCCAGTGTTGGTGACAGAGACTTTCTGCTTCCTAAGAATCTACATTGGCAGGAAGCTGGAATTAGGAGTGGGACTGAGACGGACTTTGGTACTGTGATATGATAGCTGTATATCACTAGATCAAATACCTAGCCCCAAATTCCATTTTAAAGAAATAATGTAAACTTTTACATCTCTTCTCTGTAACAATATAATTTTTCTTCTATAATCATAAAAGAGCAGCAAGTGAAGAATTCCAGAATGTAACAAATCAGTTTACATGCTACTGATTTTCAAAAATCAGCAATAGATCATTCCTTAAAACATTTATGGGATATTTTCTGCATGTTTAAAAAAATTAAAAAAAAACAGGAAATGACAAATTATGAAGTAAAAGATAGTTAGCATAATCATTTAATACAAGTTCTTCATCTTACCTCTCTTATTAGTTGCTGAAGAGATGGTGATGCTATAGGGTGGAGACTGGAGTTACCCCTGATAGGACTATGGATGCTAATGTAAGCCACAACGTTTTTCTGTAGAACCTTCTTGAAATCCTGAAATCAAAAAAGGGTTCATTCATCTTTAACATAAATAAAAATAATAAATTCTGCCTTATTAATTAAATGTTCAATAATAAACATTTCATATTTAAAATCATTACAGTGTGTGTAATTTTTAAAAAGAAATCTCATTATTTAAGAGTGGACAATGACTACAAAGGATTTTACACCTAGAGTTGTTAAAGAGTTATCCACAGAAAAAGAGTTAGATACAACATATTATGAAACATTTTAAAGCATGTTTCTGACAAAAGTCAAACTTTCAGAGAATATGTTCTTAAAATGTTATTATGGTAAGGAATTCAACTACAGAATACAGAATGGGATATTTATTTGCTCCATTGAATTAGAGAACAGAATGGATAACCTACTACAGTGGTTAATAAAACTGGCCCTTTCTTTTGAAGCACTGTGATCCTTTCTGTACAAAGTATTCTTTATTCTGAACAACTGGGGCATAATACAATTGTGACCCTGATAATGTTACTTAAAATAAAACTTGGTTATTTCATTCATATTAGCAGCATAAAAATGATTCAGTAGAATAGGATTTCACTTCTCTGCTGATCCCTAACTCACAAACTGAAGACTGATTCTGTTAATAAGGAACCACTACAGAACCCCTCCGTTACCCCTCTGTTACTACAGATTCCCTCTGTCCCTCACAGGACAGGCATTAGAGAGAAATTAAGACTTAGAGAAGTTTCTCCTGCCTGATTATTTTATTTATTTGAATGACAGAAAGAGAGATCTCCCTTCTGCTGCTGGTTTACATCCCAAATTCCCACAACCGAAGGGCTGGATGCAGACAAAGATGGGAGCTAGGAACTCAATCCAAGTCTTCCACATCGGTGGAAGAGACTCAACTACTTGAGTTGTCACCTGCTGCCTCTCAGAACGAGCATCACTAGGAAGCTGGAGTTGGAATTGGAGCAGGAACTTGAACCCATCACTCCAGCATTAGATTTAGGCATCTTAATAGTATCTTAACCACTATACCAAACTCCTACCACTAAAATCTGTAGTATTTCTACAATGTTATGTAAAAAATAAAGAGGCTTCACCGAAGAAATAGTCCTTTTTAAAGGATCTGTTTAGTAAAACGTTATATTTTTTTCTCAAAGTTCAAATTTAGTATCGAGTCAGTTCTCTAATGTTTTCACTTAAGCCTCTGTTTTAAATTTATTGACCAAAATCACTCAATCTGCCTAAATATTACTGTGGGTTTCCAGGGATTTTTATGCAAGAAAATCAAGAAAAATCACACAAGACAAGATTGCATGTTAAAAAAGGGCTTTTTCTTACATAAGTGGGGTATACAAAATTTCCAGAAGTTCTTAGAAAATGGAATTGAAAGTTAACATTTATTTTGGTGCAAAAATGTTTTAAATTCAAATTTTTCATAATCTACTTTGCCTGTGAACTTTTGAAGATGTTCTGAATATTTAGATTAAAGATTGGTTTCACTCTATTAAAAATGTTTCTTTCTTAGAAGGTACAGAGTTGATATCAGCCGACAGAAGAGGATAACTAAAAATTGTCTAAATTTCTCTTCAAGCAGATGGTTACAAATTCATGAGGTGAACTGAAATGATCTTCAGAGCCACAGTAAATTATAAAAGTACATTTAATATGCTAATAATCTGTATATGATTAATCATTTTCATTACTTGTATATATTTGCCCATCTCATCACATACAAAGCCCGAAAATGACAAAATATATAATCAGCTGTCAAAAATCATATGCCTACAAATATTCAAAGACAATGCTAATCTAATCTTTTGAACAGGAAGATCATTTTCTAACCTCCTTTGCTGTAGACTCACAATTGTAGACATTGTGTTTTTAATTATATGTTGATTGAGAAAATGTAAATTTACCAGAAATACCGAAGTATCAATGAAACTTAAAAATGACTTTATAGTAGCAGTATTTTGAATTAGTTAATTAAACCACCACTTGGTATATCCACACATTCCCTATTGAAGTGCCAGTTTGAGTACTTTCTATGCTGCTTCTGATCCAGGTTCCCACTTATGTATACTGGAAGGCAGTAGATAATGGCTCAAGTAATTGTGTTCCTGCCTCACACATTAGGAACTCAGATGGAGTCCTTGGCCCCCTCTCAATCTGAAACAATAATTTCTCATATACATTCAACACCACATTAATTCAGCTTACAAGTCATGATACTTGATGCTCAAATCAATTCAGAAACTTTTTGCAATAAATGCCCTATGCATTAGAGTTAAGCATATTTAATTTAGGAACTACCAATGTTAGCCAAGTATCCTTTGTAAATATGATTTCCAAATATACATATTCATTCAGGATTAACACAATGATTGTGAAAGTGATGTGCAGATATAGGTATCTGGTAGACTGTTTGATATACTGAAATAAATATTTGGAACTTTGAAGAATCTTTGAGACATTTTCTTAATACATGCCTTATAAGGAAGTTGAACCAGTGTGTCACTGTTTCTGAATTACTAAAAGGAGTCCATTCTCTAAATTATTTTGCAAGTTGTTAGTTAATATTTAAAAAAATTTTGAATAGAAGTTTGAGAGGATGGCTCACCTGTTACATTTTCCATTTTACTTAAAAATTACCATTTTTGAATGTTTTTATTGGCAATAGGATTTCTACATTTGAATAGCTCTTTTTAATATGGAACAAATGCTCATAATATTAATTTGTACATGGGCAAGCATTCTAATTTTCAGTTTATGTATCCTGTTGCCCTCTATAGTAAAAATTTTCTCATCTTTAAGTTTTCTTTCTTCAAATTAAAATGATACGCTATATTCTCTTTTCTATATCTTTTTTATATTTTCTTTGATATTCAATAGAGCTTTATCTTAAGTGCTTCAACTTAAGTGCTTAAGCTAAAATGTAACAAGAAAAGTTCTCATGAGATAGAATATGTCCCTCAAAGCCAAGTAGTGAACAATGTTGAATATCAAATAGTTTTAAATTCTTACTTAAAGCAATATGGCATTTGTGTGTGTGCATGTGTGTGTGTGTGTGCGTGTAGCTATGTAAGAAAGAAGGGATAAGCAGATAGTGGAAAATGAGTAGAAGGGAAGAAAGAGAGAAAGAAGGAAACCACTATTTTGAATCCAGTCTATATGCTATACAGATAAATTCAATGGTAATAAGGAAATAAACATGCAATACAGGAGACTGTTTCTTATTCCCAGATAATTTTTTAAATAAGATAATGGTATGTATCACCTGCTCCTTTCTTTCCCATTGCCTGTCTAGCTATCTTCTTGCAAGAGTCAGGTAAACTCTACTGGGGACGATATCAGAGTCTGTGTTCTGGCAATAGGGATCAGAGATGCAGGTCACACACAATTCACTATAATCTAACTCAACGTTCTCTTCATTCTTACAAGTTAGCTCAGCAAGTTGGCAAATATGAAACCCTGTTTGAGAGACACATTATTTCCTTGTCTTCATCAATTTTGCATTGTCTAATTAATACAGAAAGAAAAGAAAAAAAAGTATAACTGATGTATAAATATATATGTTTACCTCTCCCCATTCATATGAACCAATATTTCCAAAAGCTGTTCCTCCCCATGAGCAGAAAACAATAGTACGGTCTGGCCTCCACCCTCTCTTTACTCTTAACATCAAGGCCCGGATGAATGCTGTGATTATCGCAGTACTACTGGCCCATTCTTGTCCATTGTAAGTGTATGCAGTATGATGATGGCTGCCTACTATGATATACCGGTCTGGAAACAGAAGAAAATAAAGCTATTGAAACAAAATATAAACCTTAACAATAAATTTAATGACATTTCCATAATCCTATTCCACAACTGAGCAACAATTAAGCAAATTGTTTTAATAATTAAGACTACTTTAGCATTTTTCGCCCACTGTCTTGATTCACACATCTGTGTATATCAAAGCAGAGGCAGCTGTTGAAACAATTATGAATCCAAGGCTTAGATATGTATTACTGTCCTTTACACCATGAATATTAATTAATGAAGTATACAAATATGCCACAATGAAACCCTTATCCAACATTTCACTAGTATTATAGTGGGAAGTACCTTGTCAACAATGTGTATGCTCAGTAAATATTAATGAACTATTAATAGATTTGAGGAAATAGTTATTCAGTAGTTGTAAATATTAAAGTGCATTAATCATATATGGATTTTGCAATAAACAAAGTGTTTAGAGAACTGCTTCCTACTTACAGTTCTAGTCCTTTTCCTTTCTCTTAAGAGAAAAATAAAGTTCTCCAATATAAAAACCTATTCCAACATTGTCTTTTCACCTATTTTTTATCTTATAATCCTCCACAATTCATTAGACACAGAAAGTCTTCTGAGACACATAGCTGTGGACAGTTCAAAGTACATGACCCTTGTCAGTAATAAAGTAGGCATAAAAAAGATGTACTTCCAAGAGATTCCACTGATGCCATTGTCAGTAAATGCTGTTGGTAATACTTTCAGAGATTATTTGATCAGGTGCCCTGTATAAAATATTTTCTTGTGTGAGTTTCATTCCACCATGAGATGTTCTATAACGTGGCTAATTATACGAATTATGAAGCACACTTTTGTACCTCACTCGTTGTGTTACTTTGGAAATTTTACCTAAATTCTCTTTACTTTATTTTCATCAACTCTAATGCAAGAATACAAACAACAAATTTGGCCATTTTGACGTTTGACTGAGTCACTAGATGTAAGGCATAGAACAGTGACTGACACAAGGTAGGTTATACATATGTGTGCAATAATCATCCCTTGATTTCATGATGTCAAGGAGCTACCTCATAGTGCAAAGCTATTTTAGTTTTCAGTGCTGATTTTAAGAACCAGCAATGGATTTGATCTTTCAACATTTTATCTAGATGTAATTAACAGTATATATAATGGGTCTGAAAATGTTTGAAATGATGATTCATTCATTGATCTCCCAGAAATGTCTGACAGCTCTGCTTGAGACTGTCTATATCATCCAAATAAAACACATATAAAAGGTCTAATGCTAACTGATGATTGTTTCTAATTTTCAGAGATACCAAATAAGAAAATCATCTAAGTAAGCAACCAATTTTTTCATAGAACTCAAATAAGGAGAATTTAAGAAACTTCATATATATGCACTGACAAATATTAATGGTAAAATTGATCTTTTTAAATCTAGGCTTTTTTGTAGTCTGAATTTCCTTTACCCTAAAGCTAGCATAATTTTGTACAACTAGGTTTTGCAATAATAACTTGAAAATGCAGCGATGATGATAAATATTCTAGTGCTCCATCCTTATGATAGCAATTCATTGAAATAGTGGAAATAGAATAGTAACAGTTTCCAAATTCATTTCTGTCTTATATTTAAAGACACCGTGATCAGAGGTTTCCTTACAACACTGCTGCTGTAAGGAAATAAGAGAGAATAAGTACCTTTCATGAATTTTATGAGTTGGCTGCCCAGAACTAGGAGGATATAAAAATTGATCTCAAAATTCTCTGGTTTAGAAATTAGGTCAGTTTTACAAAAGTCATAGAGAACAGTTATTCTCCATGGGGAACTTAAATGATGTCTAAACCAAATAGACAGGGGCCAGCGCTGTGGCGTAGCAGGTGAAGCCTCCGCTTGCAGTGCTGGCATCCCATATGGGTGCCAGTTCAAGTCCTGGCTGCTCCACTTCCAATCCAGCTCTCTGCTATGGCCTGGGAAAGCAGTAGAAGATGGCCCAAGTGCTTTGGCCCTCCACCCTCGTGGGAGACCCGGAAGAAACTCTTGGCTCCTGACTTTGGATCGGTGAAGCTCCGGCCATTGTGGCCATCTAGGGAGTGAACCAGTGGACAGAAGACCTCTCTCTCTCTCTCTGCCTCTGCCTCTCTGAAACTCTGCCTTTCAAATAAATAAATACATTAAAAAAAAACAAATAAACAGAAGTGGCACAACTGTTATGAAAAGACTGTGGCAACCTGCACGGTGTAACAGGCATACCTGACAGTAAATTGGGATTAATGACATATATTAATAATTAATGTATGTGTCAGTTATTTTAATTTTTTAGTATACATAATGCCATTTGAATGTTCCATCAGTAGCCCATAACTAGGTATAAGGTATTTATAATTCAGCCAGTGATTGTTTTATTAAGCACCTCCAAAACCTAAACCACTGCAAACTTTAGACAGAAACATCAGTGGACCAGGAGTCAGGAATTACATATTGATTAACATTAAAAAAACTGTATATGATGACAATTAAAAATTATATATTCATTTATTTTATTTGATATAATACAGAGAGTGAGACAGATAGACACAGATATTCTATGTGCTGGTTCACTCCCCAAATGCCTGCCATAACTATGTGTGGGCCATGTCAAAACTAGGAGCCCAGAACTCAATCCAGATTTCCCATATGAGTGGCAGGGACCTAATTTCTTGATCCATCCAGGTTCCTGGCTTTGTCCTAGGCGAACAACGGCTACTGCAATTATTTTGGGAGTGAACCAACAGGTGAAAGTTCTCTCTCATTCTCATTCCCTCCCTCTGTTACTCTTCCTTTCAAACAAATAAGTAAGTCTCAAAAGGGGGGGGGTCATGGTAGGAAAGAAAATAGAAACCTCCTTCTTAGTTTAATTTTTATGCGCTCTGAGTGGTATAAGCTTCTAATTATATAAGAAGTAGGCTATTTAACTATGTCATCAAATTTATATAGACCAGTTCTCTGTGAAGTTTCCCAGAAAGTGTGGATCATAAAGATTTAACCCTACTTACCTGGAGAAGTGAAACCCTTTAAATATCCAACAACATTTGTAACTGTTTTGAATTTTGTGACTGTCTGAACTTGCATGCTGACCATTCGTATCTCTGGAAAAAGAAATTAAAGATGCTTGTTTCTTTATATTCTCTGGTGTTTCTCTAAAACATTAAAATCTTTATTCAATATCATCAGTAAAGGAATTCCACAAAATTAAGTTTTTCTAGATAACAAAAATTACATTTTTGATAAATATTTATGCATTATTTAGTGGAGACGGTATTTTAAGTGACTATTTTGCAATGATGACTAAGATACAGTTGCTGGCTCCATAACTGCAGAGTCACAAACAAACACACTTATCATGAAGGTTCAACATGACAGCACACAGAAAATGAGGTTTGGTCAACTTGTATTTTAAAAAGGGGAAATAAAAATATTTCCAAAGAATATTGAATACTTTTTAATTTTAAGAATGAGGAGAATAACAATATTTCCTGCATGACTCATTAAGACATTCATACTTTGAAATCTAAATAATGCATTAAGCACTACAAGGATAAAAATTCTTAATGTTATTATATATATTTGTATATGTACTGATATCAGAATCTATATTTTTATCTGTGCTTATAGGTACCTCACAACTATTCTAAAACCCCAGTAATTGTTCTGCCCCTTTGAGTTCTTCTATTTATGGCTAGTATTCAAGATTTTGCAAATGAGGTAAGACACTGCCCAAGAAGGACTGCTTGATGTGTTCTTTGAAGGTCTTTAGGGGTGGCATGTTAATCCTGTACTTGATGGATCTTGGAAAAACTAGGGGTTTCTAGTGAAGGTTTAAGAGATGCCAAGTGGTGGTGACAAAGGGTAGGGTGGCAGGTAGAAGACAGATGATGGGGCAGGCATTTGTCATCCCGTATCAGAATGCCTGAGTTTGAGTCTTGGTTCCTTTCCTTATTTATTATGCAGTGGGTTAAATCATCAATGGATGGATTGCTGTTACTTTTAGAAGAAAAATATTTTTTTAATTTGAATGTTATTGTTAGGGAACCATTCATGGAGAAAGTAATTGTAGTGCCGTTTGAAACAAAGTAACTATAGCGCCACAGTAGCAGTAGCGCAGCTTGAAAGAAAAGTAGAAAGGTAACCACCCTAGCTGGTAAGATTTGAAAATGGAAGGCCTAACTAGATGGCCTAACCACAAACTGTCGTTGCCCTGACTACAGGACGCTGCGAGGTTGGAATGTGGGCGGGGCTAGCCTCTACAAACTGTATATAAGGGGACCCTTAGATGCTGTAAACCAGAGGTTGCTCAGCCTCTTTCCAGGTCCATAGTGCCTAGTGCCCGCGGAGTAGGCTTGAGCGATCTCTCCTCCTAGTCGCCTAGAGTATCAATAAAGTGTGTTTAGCTTGACCTTCCTCAGTCTCCTTGACTCTTCCTTCGCGATAACCCGGTCAGTTCCCAAAGGGGGAGATCCTGACAGCTATAATTTAGAAAAATTAAGCATTTTTCATACATTTTTACTTTATTATATAATTTACAAATAAATCCCAAAGAAAACAGTACAATGCATCCTCATCTTCCTATAACCCAACTGTCAACTTTTCACCATTCTTCAGACAACTTTTTAAGGTTAATTTTTCGTGAATCCTAAAAAGAAACTTTAATCACTGGTATTAGAATCAGACTCATTAAACACTTCTGGATCTTTAAGAGATTATATTCTCAGTCATGATGGGGTAGCTCAAAGTTATTAGACAGCATTGAAAGAAATGGTTTCTTTTCTTAGCTCCTCTCTTCCAGTTCTTCACGAAGAATATAACACTTTCTTGCGAAGTACCATTACCTCACTAAGCTATGGTACACCAGAACCCATAACCTCCATCCAACTATGCCTTGTCATCTATCAACCAATGGCCCTCTCCCCTCTCACCTCATCCCTGCCAGACTCTGGTAATCACTATTCTAAATTCAGAACAACTATTTCAAGCTGGTTTTCAGGTTTGATTAGTTCATGCTATATGTATATGGTGAAATGTTACATTATACCCCATAAAAATTTACAAGTATTACATGTTATTCAAAAAACTCCCTTCATTCAAGCAGAGGGAGTACTGTACTCATTCCTAACCCAATTATTTTTTCAGTGGTCCAGAAGCTGTTGTAGAATGGAGACATGATACATAATTATATTAAATTTTTTCACAGTTACCTTTTTTATAATTTTTCATTAAAGTAACTAGACAGATATAATTTATCGTGCTAAATAGTATCTGGTTATTGAATCAATTTCAGTTTCCTTTCTAGTTCAATTACTGAAGATCAATGGGATTATTTTTTTTCAAAATTATAGTGTAGAAAAGAGCATATTTACATTTCTTGTGCACACATGACACTCTTTCTCCAAACAGCCAACAGAGGAGGAATGTCCATATGTTAAAGTATGCATATGCCTGAATGATGCTGGAGCTGGCAGCACCAATTGCTGTGATATAGATGGACTCTTCCTCAGGTATTCCTAGATGAATACAGTCAGTGCTGTGGTTTATAATATCAACAGCCCGAGTCTTAAGACTACAGGGTGTGAAGTGATCCCTGTTCCAGACCTACAGGGAATTTAGAACAAATTATTAGAGTCATGGTGTACAGGGTATGGTGGAGTCACTACCCAGATCTCCCAGGGTGGGAGTGATTTTTTTTAATGCAATGCTTCTGGTGTTAGACCCACCAGATTAGGTGAATTGCCTGGCTCATGTAGAATACGTGAGCATAGCTCTTAGGCCAATGCCCCACCAAAACTCTCACAGTTGTCGGATACAGGAGATCCATCCTTTGCCCCACACATTGCCCTGACTCTATGATGGTAGTAGGAGCAACACAGGGGCACACTGTGTGGCTTTTCACTGCTGAATATGGTGCTCTGTGTAGGTAGGGGAGGAGAGGAAAGAAAAGCAACACTGCTTCCCTACTCCAAGCCCAGCGGTTGCTCTGACCCTAGTCATATTTCCAGGCTGAAGTAAAAGTCAGTGTGTATCTATGGAGTTCTCTCAGCTAAAAATGAGAGCAGAGGGATGCAAGGAAAATTTTTCCTACCTTAAGGTGCTAATTTGGCAGCTTACAGACAATAGCTGGCTATGCCATGTGGCTGCCTGCAGTAGTGTCTCCCTCAACACCAAGAACAAGACCCTGGCTCTCATATTCACCAGGAAGACTGACACCAACCTTTCTGTGAGCCAAAGATACACACTCAAGGAAACTCTTTTTCATCTCAAAGCCATACTTCTATCCCTATGAACTACAGCAGACTAATTCACTGTGTCATTTATAGACAAAGCTGGCCTTGATTAAGACAAAATAAATCACTCAGAGACCACACTCCTGGGCTCACTTACAACCAAAGACAAAGAAACAGCCAACCAATACCCTGATTACCAGCTAAACCACAAACTATTTTCTAATAAATCCTAATCCATATGCCCCTCCCTACACCAGAGGGGCAGACAACACAAGGACATAAGAAACATGAAGAAGGTAGCATGCCAACTCTCAAAGAACAATAATCCTCCAGAATTAGATCATGAACTGAAGGAAATCTATGAAATGACAGATATAGAATTCAAAATAATGATTGTACGGAAAACTCAATGAGATGCAAGAAAATACAGATACATGGATTAAAGAAATGAGGAAATCAATGAGTGACATAAATGAAAATATTACTGAGGAGATAGAACTCATTAATAGGAACCAAATGGAAAGTTTGGAGATAAAAACTTCAATCAAATTATGGTATATATAATATATACACTATGCAGCACTACTTAGCTGTAAAAAAAAAAAGAAATCTTGTCTTTTGCAACAAGATGGATATAACTAGAAACCATTATACTTATACTTAGTGAAATAAGTCAGTCCCCAAATGACAGATATCATGTTTTTCCTGATCTGAGGTAACTAATAGAGTATCTAAAATGTAATACATTGGAGTGAAATGGACATTTTGTGATTCAATGATTGCTTACAGACCTTATATCTTCCTTTGAGGAACAGGGATATATCCAATGTTAGCAATAAGAACAAAAAGTGGAACATAATAAAAGATAAGAATGGGAATAGAAAATAGAATAACTGAAAGAAATATGCAAATATGTAGAATAAGTAGGTAGATAAGGCAGTACAATAAATATAAATGAGGAGTGAATTTCAGGACTAAATGATCGGATTAAGAAATTGTTCCACAGAACAACAGGAAAGGATTATAAAAAGAAAACATGAAAACACAAGTAAAAGATATAGTGGAAAAATAGGATCTCTAGAAAGAATACTAAAAGGAGAAAAAGAATGGGTATTTAGTAAAAGGGTTAAGATATGGCCTACAATCTGAATCTGAATGCCTGGGTTTGAATCCTGGCCCTGCTTCTTATTCTAGCTTCCTGCACATGCAGACTTTGGAAGGCAGTAGACGAAATACCTAGGTCTCTGTCACCCATATGGGGCAAATGGAATTGAGTTATAGGCTCCTGATTGGCCTGGCCACGCTTCAGTTTTTGTGGGCATTTGGGGGATGAGTGGATGAAAGATCTCTGTCTCTCTCTTTCTCTCTTTCAAATAAATAACTAAACAAATTTAAAAATTAAAAGGAAAAAAAGACAAATGGATCAGAAAACATAGTTAATATTTTTCAGAAAAAGAAGAAAACACATTTTAATTTTATAGTAAAATTTAGAAACATAAAAATGAAGAATATTGCTTAAAAGCAGAGCATCTACACAAAAAACAGGAATCAGAAATAGGGTAGGCTGGATGAGGTCTAGTAATTGTGACCAATATATAATAGTAATATCCGATGTTAATAATAACTTAAGTGAATAAAAATATAAGTGTACTGTATTTTAATGGATTTTATTGTACTTATACACTCCAATATTTAACTGTAGGTTCTATAATTTATAAGGAGCAACAGGCATTTGAAAAATTATGTGAAAAGAATGCAAAATGCTATACAATTGATGAGAAACATTGAAAAATTGGAAAATGTCTGTTATAGTAATTTTTCTTACAAGTGTACTTCTCAGGTTGCTTTTGTGTCTTATAGGAAATAAAGAA